AAGGTGGAGTTTGTGCTATGTTTGGAGAAACATGCTGTACTTTCACCCCCAACAAGGCACCTGATGGTACTTTCACTAAAGCCCTTACCCAACTGCGTACTTTGTCTCATGAGTTACAGGCCAACTCTGGAATTGATAATTGATTGGGCGGCTGTGGCTCAGAGGCAGAGCGGGTCGTTCCTTAATCAGAAGGTTGTGGGTTCGATCCCCGGCTCCTGGTGCCACATGTCGAAGTATCCTTGAGCAAGATACTGAACCCCCGATGCCGTGCATCGGTGTGTGAATGTGTATGAATGTTAGTTTCTGTTCGATGGGCTTTGCCATCACTGAGTGAATGTGTGTGAAAGGGTGAATGTGGCACATAGTGTAAAAGCGCTTTGAGTGGTCAGAAGACTAGAAAGGCTATACAATCGAGGCACAGGCCGAGGAGGTGGAGTGGCAGCCATATATGATTCGAGCGTTTTAATGGACCCAAAACCTAAACTAAATTATAATTCATTTGAAAGCCTTGTTCTTAGTCTTTCTCACCCAAACTGGAAAACACTGCAGCCAGTTCTATTTGTTATAGTGTACCGCGCTCCTGGACCGTACTCTGATTTTATATCTGAATTCTCAGAGTTTCTATCAAGTCCTTAAATCAAGTAATTATTGTAGGTGATTTTAATATTCATGTGGATGTTGACAATGACAGCCTTAGTAATGCATTTATATCATTAATACACTCAATTGGCTTCTGTCAGAGTAAATAAACCAACTCATTGTTTTAATCACACTCTTGACCTTGTTTTATCATATGGCATTGATATTGAACATTTAATAGTCTTCCCACATAATCCTTTCCTATCTGACCATTATTTAATAACTTTTGAATTCATGTTGTTAGATTATAAGCCATTAGGCAAAACTTCCTACAGCAGATGTCTATCTGACAGTGCTGTAGCTAAATTTAAGGAGGAGATTCCTTCAGTGTTTAATTCAATGCCATGTCTGAATTTAACAGAATCCTATAACGACTTTAGTCCCTCTGAAATTGATAATCTTGTCGATAGTGCTACAGGCTCACTACGATCAACATTAGACTCTATCGCTCCTATAAAAAGGAAATTATTAAAACATAGGAAACTAGCACCTTGGTATAACCACCAAACCCGCCAGATAAAACAAATAGCTAGGAAATCTGAAAGGAAATGGCGCTCTTCCAAATTATCAGAATATTGCTCAAATTGGCAAGATAATCTTAAAACTTATAGAAAGGCCCTCCGTAATGCCAGAGGAGCCTATTACTCAGCACTAATAGAAGAAAATAAGAATAACCCTAGGTTCCTCTTCAGCACTGTAGCCAGGCTGACAGAGAGTCACAGCACTATTGAGCCACATATCCCCATAAACTTAAGTAGCAATGACTTCATGAGCTTCTTCTATAATAAAATTATTACTATTAGAGAAAAAATTAATCACCAACTGCCATCAACAGTTATCAGTGGCTCTCCAAGTTCAGGGACTTCTGTTAATGTAAACTTAGATATGTATTTAGACTGTTTTTCTGCTATCGATCTTCATCAGTTAACTTCAATCATTTCTTCATCGGAGCTATCAACCTGTCTATTAGACCCGATCCCAACTAGGCTGCTTAAAGAAGTTGTTCCCTTAATTGGCACTTCTTTACTGGATATGATTAATCTTTCTTTATTATCAGGATATGTACCACAGTCCTTTAAAGTAGCTGTAATTAAACTCCTTCTTAAAAAGTCCACTCTTGACCCAGGGGTTTTAGCCAATTATAGACCGATTTCTAACCTCCCCTTCCTCTCTAAGATGCTGGAGAAAGTAGTCGCCAAAGAGTTGTGTGACTTTCTACATAACAATAGTTTATTTGAGGATTTTCAGTCAGGATTTAGAGTTCATCATAGCACAGAGACGGCTCTGGTTAAAGTTAATAATGACCTTCTGACTGCTTCTGACAATGGACTTGTCTCTGTACTTGTATTATTAGATCTTAGTGCTGCATTTGACACCATTGACCATAATATTCTTTTACAGAGACTTGAGCATCAAATTGGTATTAAAGGAACCGCACTAAGCTGGTTTAAGTCATATTTATCAGATCGCTCGCAATTTGTACATGTTAACGATGAATCTTCAATAAATACTACAGTTAGTCATTGAGTTCCACAAGGTTCTGTACTTGGACCAATACTATTTACTTTATATATGCTCCCTTTAGGCAACATTATTAGGAATCACTCCATTAACTTTCACTGTTATGCAGATGATACGCAGTTATATCTATCAATCAAGCCCAATGAAATTAATCAATTATCTAAATTACAAGCATGTCTTAAGGACATAAAATCCTGGATGACCTGCAATTTTCTGATGTTAAACTCAGAAAAAAACGAAATTCTTGTTCTTGGCCCCAAAAACCTTAGAGACTCACTGTCTAAAGATATAGTTACTCTAGATGGCATTAACTTGGCCTCTAGCACCACTGTCAGAAATCTTGGAGTTATCTTTGATCAGGATTTGTCATTTAACTCCCACATAAAGCAGACCTCTAGGACTGCCTTCTTTCATTTACGTAATATTAGAAAGATTAGACACCTCCTATCACAGACAGATGCAGAAAAACTAATCCATGCATTTGTTACTTCAAGGCTGGATTACTGCAACTCTTTATTATCAGGTTGCCCCAATAAGTCCATTAAAACGCTCCAATTAATTCAGAACGCTGCAGCACGAGTACTGACAGGAACTAGAAAAAGAGATCACATCTCTCCTGTACTGGCTTCTCTGCATTGGCTCCCTGTAAAATGTAGAATAGAATTTAAAATCCTCCTCCTCACCTATAAAGCTCTTCATGGTCAGGCCCCTTCATATCTTAAAGAGCTCATAGTACCCTATTACCCCTCTAGAACACTACGTTCTCTGAATGCTGGGCTACTTGTGGTTCCTATAGTCTCTAAAAGTAGAACAGGAGCCAGAGCCTTCAGTTACCAAGCTCTCCCTCTCCTGTGGAACCAGCTTCCATTTGTGGTTTGGGAGGCAGACACCCTCACCACATTCAAGAGTAGGCTTAAGATGTTCCTCTTTGATAAAGCTTATAGTTACGGCTGGATCAGGTGAGTCCTGAACCATCCCTTAGTTATGCTGCTATAGGCCTAGACTATCGGGGGATTTCCCATGGTGCACTGAGCTCCTCCCTTCCTCTCTCTTTCTGCACTCATTCATGTTCCATTAATGCATGTTACTAACTTCACTTCTTCCCCGGAGTTCTTGTGCTTTCTCGTCTCGCAGGTTCTTGTCGATCCTGGTGGAGCCTCCTGCTATGGTCCTGCTAGATTGCCATTGCCAATACTGTTGTTGCTGTGCCTCTCTCTCTCTCTCTCTCTCTCTCTCTCTCTCTCTCTCTCTCACCCCAACTGGTCGAGACAGACGACCACCCACCTAGAGCCGGAGGATCTGTCCTAGGTTTCTGCCTTTTAGCAGGCAGTTTTTCCTTGCCCTTGTCGCCAAGTGCTTGCTCATGGTGGTACTGTTGGGTCTCTGTAATTAATGTTAAAGAGTTCGGTCTAGACCTGCTCTATTTGAAAAGTGTCCTGAGATAACTTCTGTTATGAATTGGCGCTATACAAATAAAATTGAATTGAATACAAGTACAGGTCCATTTACCATTTACCATAACTCCATGTGTGATTGGGTGCATAACACGCTGGGTAGGTGGAAATCCTACATTGTTTCTGGTCTGGTTGCTTGTGCCATAGTTTTAGGGATACTATGTTTTATAAGTTGTGTTGTTCCAATGGCTAGAGCCTTGATAATGCGCACTGTAGATAAATCTGTCTCTCACCAAATGACCTTAATGCGGGTGATGGAAGAAAGCAGAGACCGTGCTGCTGCTCGCGCGTGGCAACGTGAAATGTCTAACCTTGTGGATGAAGCTGTGTATGAGAACGTAGATTAACTTTTCACATTGTTCATTTTTTTTTGTATCTTTTGTAACCCTATATGTCTTGATTCTGTTATATGCTGTTCTCCCTCAGGGGCCTGATGACGTGGTATCTTAAATCTTGACGGCTTGATATCATTGATGTTAGGGTTAGGCTCAGCAGTCACTTGGTGCAACAACAACAACTCTGTAACAGCTTGATACAGAAGCGACCCAAGAAGACAATGGAGGAAGCTAAAAAACAGATTCATTTTTGTCCAGAGGCTTCTTTCTCCTTTTCTCTTCTTTTCACTTGTTTGATGTTTGGCTGGGTTAGAAAAGTTGTTGCCTCGCTGATTTATGATCATAATGTAATCAGAACAAATGTACAGCTGTCCATATTTACAACTGCAACCGGGAGCACCAAAACACACAAATACCAAATCTGAAATTTGAGAAGATCCTTCAGTGTTAATATCACTACCAGAGAAAAAATTATTTCACACCCACAACTTCAAATCAAACTGGTTGAACCCTGTATATGAAAAAGACTAAAGGTGATCCGAAGGATCTGTCCTAGGTTTCTGCCTCTTAAAAGATTAGAATCCTTAAAACGTTAGCTACTCCTTCAACCTCATTTAAAAAAATCCAGAAACTATGAGTATGTAAATGTTGTTCATTTCTATAGTTTCCCTAGTGGACACAAGATTTCTCTTACTATTTGATATATATTCTCAGTGTATGTGCACTGGTGGATTCAAGTTTTTACATCACACTTCACACTGCAAAGCTTCTAGCCCTTAAAAATCTGCAAACAAAAAGATAACAAGTTTAGCAGATACTACAAAACATCATTCTTAAGTAAAGAGTCCATAACTAATTTTAGAGGTGGTCAAGGGGACATGACAGTCCCTGAGATTCTGGACGAGAGAATATTAGGTAAGTGTTGAATGCAATAGAGGGTGATACTGGACCAGAGAATGTATTGTCAGGTAAAAAAAACAAAATCTCAGTAAATTGGCAAGCCATGATGATGATCTGGTGAACAGAAAAAATAATTTTCAGTAAGTCTATCTTAGTTATACATTTTATTTTAGTTGGTTTCAGTATCATTTCAACACTAAATTCATTCATTCAGAGTAAGGCATTATGATTCGTAAGTTAAACAAGCGTTTTCCCCTGTGGAGAAAGATAGACATCTGTTCATGACTCCTACGACAGGACGGGAACATTCATGAATTTCATTCGTACCTTAGAGAAAATTCAAAATACAACAAGATTGATGAATGCCACTAATTCTCTTAAATCACTTGTACATGCCACTTAATAACAAATCTGTTCATAAGAGTTGATAAAGAAGCAGAAATCTACCTTTACAGAGACAAAAGTTATCATATTGAACATTCTTAACTTCTAGGTGTTCTAGAGGGGAAAAAAATAGCAGTGAACAGAACATTAAACAGTACTGTTAACATTTATAAATGAAGAATGTCAAAGTGTCTCCAGTGACTTAAATCAGTATTACTCAAAGGCATCTTGAGTTATGAGCACTTATGTGATTAGCCACTGCCACTTCCACTAATCAATACAGTGCTTCAGACTTTAGTTGCCCCCAGACCATGCACACAGAAATTCTATTCACAATTTTTTCCGGTAAGCGTTTGTGGCATTTGTGCCCCCCCCAGTCGTCTGGCTTAAAATGCTTGGGTAGATTTACTAAAGCTAACCCTAACCCTACCTACCAAAAACTGGTAAATCAGTTGTGGCTAACTTCCTGATAAGCCCCGCCCTTCGCAATTTTTTTTGATAAGGCGGCCATGTATTTTGATCTGTTAATTTAGAATAGAAATGTGTATCTCAGTCCGACCATGCCGCAAATACCCAATATGGTGTTGGAGTCAAAATCAAAAAAAGTAGAAAAATCTACGAACACATAATGGTCCAGGAGGGTTCCTTGTAGAGCTCATTAAGCTGGACTTGTGTGTCCAATTTCAAGTCAATTGGACTTACAGTGTGACGTAGGGCTTAATTACAGTGCCACCATCTTGGCTCATGTTTCTTGGGAAGCATTTGCACATCATTTCCAGTTATTGTGCCAAATTTCATGTTTCTAGCACATTCCAGCTCTCAGCAATTTGAGCCGCGGCATAACAAAAATAATAAATAACCCGCCCAAAATAATGATAATGTGATAACCAACAATATAATTATGAAGGTGTGAACTCAGTTTATGTAGAGCCGGCTGCTAGTTAGTCCCTCCAGAAGAACGCGATTATGCGATCGCATAATTCAATGCATAATCAACCAAAGTCCGCATATTTATGCGGGGGCCGCATTTTTTTCAAATACGCCGCACTTTCGCCGCATATATTGCCGATTTCCGCGCAAAATATGCGGAGCTTGCATGATTTCATAATCCCCGCATTTTGGTTGCAAAAAAGTCACATATATCTTAGCAGAAAGTTGAAAAATGTTGCGTTTACTTCACTCGAGCAGCCATTTCCCCTGTTGCCATGGGAACGTTATGAAGTGACGTAATTACGCGACGCGACCATCATCGAAAAGCTGCAAACCCCGCAATGAAAACCGTACAGTTGTAAGTATATTAGTAGTATGTAAATTTATGTTACAGTAAGTGATGTCTGTTTTGTATAGCTACCTCTGTAAAACAGGAAGCACACATTTTATTTTTTTATATTTTATTAAGGGGGACTGTCCGTGCTCATAAACAACAGTTGGTGTAACGCCGGGCACGTCTGTGTGAAAGAGCGTCTGCAGCCCGGACATCGTGTTATCTGACACGGGAACTTTCCAGTGTTGTCGCCATCACTGTCTATATTCCTCACAGTGGTCTTCATCATCATCATCACTGTTTACATTTATGATGTCCTATTTATTCTCCTGTACAGCACTTTGGTCAACTTTGGTTGTTTTTAAAGTGCTTAACAAATAAAGTTGGATTGGATTCATTTTCACAGAAGTTGTAGCATATTCCTTTTGTAAAGCTACAGAACTTGTTTGACTCATCAATGTTTTGTAAGTTTGAGCCATGTGTTTATTAAGGTCTGAAATAAAACAAGATGAGAACTTAAATATTCCCAGCACTTTCTGTGATGCTTGCTTATCATAGGAAGTAATAAGAAATGACTCTTTACATTAAGGTAGTAGCCTAGTGAGAACACGATGTTGGGGGAATCACTTTTTTTCCCTCTTTTTCATCAAACCGCAATTTTTGCAAGTTCCCGCAATTTCATCGCATAAAATTACATAAATATCCCGCATATTCCAACGCATTTTTTAAGAAAACGTGCCGCATAATCAAGGATTTTTGCCCGCAACAATCACAAAAAAACTTTTTTCTGGAAGGACTGGCTAGTCTGCCACTAATGCTCTGAATGAAACAAACTGCGACCAACCAGTTCCTACTGTTGTAATAACTTACTGTTTTACATAGATGTATAGAAACATAGATACCTCATTGGCCACTGCTGTATGCAACTGCTATACGGCAGACAAGCAACCAGGTGGCTTTATAAAAATACTGTATGAACATAAATTTATATTTTAACATACCAAATCCCATGAAAATGGGTTCAGAATTAAGTGAGTTAGTCAATTTTGTAGTGCAGTCTGCATCTCTCAGTAGTGTTAACTAGTGATCTTGATAGATGCTAACTCAAAGTGGCAAGTTCCATGAGCCCTACATTTACAGTCAGTTTTAATGATACAATTCAACACATGATGATTGACTGGAAGAAATGTTACCAGGTCATGAGGGAATATATCCAGATCTTTCAATTTCAATTCATACAGCCTACATGTAGTGCTGAACAGGGTACTAACAAGAACAAACCATGGAGTTTCTGCCTTCCCTATGCACTATTATTTACATTCTGCAGCGTCTTTTTCATTGATCAACTCCATATGATGATTTTTGCTGTATATTGATATCTACCAGTGACTGATGGCCATAATCACAAACACATTAAATACATACCTGAAAGATTTCTCAGCTATATGATAAAAAACTGCACCGTTCAAGTTGCCAATAGATGGTGGTATCCATTTGTCTCGTAAACCCCCAGCCCGAGTTGGAAAGTGTAAATCTCGCAGCTCGCGACATTTCACCGAGACACACCCCCTTTTGGTCGGAATTTCAGCTGTCCAGCTCGGGGTACCTCACAGTACACCGAGGTAAACGTGCAATCCATTTGTCTCGTGAACTCGGAGCCCGAGTTGTTCTGCCGCGAGAATGTGATGTCATTGCCTGGCTTGTACCACTTATAGCGTTCCAGGTTGTCTTTGGGCATTACGAGTCGGAAAGAAGTGCAGCAGCTGTGTTGTTATAGTTTGTGGCTCTTCTAAACAAGCTCAATGTGAGATAATAATATGTTTTTCTACAGAAACACTAACATTTCAAGTAATTCCAATAATTTCAATAATATTTTGCCATTTTTGCCTATTTCAATTTCAACAAGTGCTGTGGCGTTTGTCTCGAGCCACCGGGGGCAGTAGCAGGCTAGTGTTATTGTTAGCTACATTAGCCTATTTAGCAAACCAGCTCGAAAACAAAACTTTACATTGTATTGCACGCACAGCAACACTGTGCAATGCATAAATTGGTGACCGGACTAAAGCAGCAATGTAAACAAGTGTGTAGGAGCATTTAAAATCGACATTAAAACGACCAACGTAGTACAAATACAAAGAAAACATCTCAATATGGGCGCTGCCATCTTTGTTTTGCGGGTTGTTTTTAAATGCTCCTACACACTTGTTTACATTGCTGCTTTAGTTCTTTAGACCAATTTAAGCATTGCACGGTGTTGCTGTGCGTGCAATACAATGTAAAGTTTTGTTTTCGAGCTGGTTTGCTAAATAGGCTAATATAGCTAACAATAACACTAGCCTGCTACTGCCCCTGGTGGCTCGAGACAAACGCCACAGCACTTGTTGAAATTGAAATAGGCAAAAATGGCAAAATATTATTGAAATGTAAGACTTGCAATAACGGAATTACTTGAAATGTTAGTGTTTCTGTAGAAAAACATTATTATTATTTCACATTGAGCTTGTTTAGAAGAGTCACAAGCAATAATAAGACAGCTGCTGCACTGGTGGCGTCCATGTTCTTTCCGACTCGTAATGCCCAAAGACAAATGGAACGCTATAAGTGGTACAAGCCAGGCAATTAAGTCACGTTCTCGCGTCAGAGCAACTCGGGCAGGGGATTTACGAGACAAATGGATAGCACCAGGATACAGGATTAGGATACAGTGTAAATTAAATTGTGGCAAAAGAAGGATGGAGTCTTTGGAACAAGACTGTCTTGTGGACCCGATACTGGTCTTTAAAATGCAGGTTTTTAAAACAGGCAGCGTTTCAGGACAGAACATCTGTACATAGGTAGACACATATTGGCAAAAATTAAAAGACAATAGGCAAAACATTATACAGTAATTCATTAATAGTTGTTCCCTATGATCCCTATGCTTCCATTAAGGGAATGCAGTGGGACAAACTGAAATTTCACGTAGGTCCCACAGCAGTCCCATAAATCAGGAACAACGACATCCATTAAAAACAAATCCTAGAGGTTCAGTGTCCACTAAAACCTGTGGACAGACAAGTCCTGTCCACATGACAGTCGCTGCAGTGTGGACAGCAGCAGGCCCATGCACTCCCAGTCTCTGTCTTTCCACCGTTGTAGTACACGAGGCCGGCCTTGGGGTCCACAACCCTCCTCCACTCCATCCTCTGTCAGTACAGGCTCCAGGCCTGCTGATGCTGGGGGTAAAGTGATGAAGAGCTAGAGGAGGAGGCGGTGAGCTCGCCAGGGCCTAGCTGCTTTCCACACACACACATTCAGTCCAGCTTCTCCTTCTGGACCAGCTTGGGAGCATCTACGAAGTCCAGTCCATTAAAGAGGATGAGGCCACCCGTCACCACACTGGCTGTTCCCCAGAACAGAACATAAGCCAGAGTTTCAGTCCATGTGTCACCTGAAAGGGGACAGCTGGTCATACTGAGTCAGTAGAGGAAATTTAAAACAAATTTTGCATCCACTGCCAAAATATTGGGGGAGCGTTCCAAAAATAGTAATTAGTGCATACATTTTTGAGCCCTATAGGAATTCATTTTAAGATAAATAACCCAGAGCTGAACCAATATTTTGATGAGCAGATAATACTGGCCAATAAATAATATCATAGACGCATTAGTACTGTATCCGTACCAGAGTAGATTTGAACCAATATGCTCTGATATGAAAACAGTTTTTCCGGTATATAATGCAGAAAAAAAGCTTGTGGTAATATATTGGTGTTTATCCAGCAGAGTGCGCTGTGATTTACAATACTGTGGCAAGCAGCACAGAACAATAACAGCAATGTCAACTTAAACTAGTTAAATTATTTAACATATTGAAGAGTATTTAACTTTATTTGGCAGCCATATCTGTAACCGTTTCCCCTCTAAAATCAGTATCAGCCTCAAAAATCCTAGGCTCAAAAATCTGGGCTCTAACTCTACGTTTGTGGGTATGAAAATTCCTTTTAAATGGAGTTTATTGCAGTTTGTCTTACCAGCCATTAGCAGGCAAATGATGCACATGGAGAATGCTACCACCATGATGATAGGCAACTAAAAAAGAAGACCAAATATATATATCAAAATATAGACTTTGTGAAAAGAAACATCTGTTAGTCTGTCTTGCTGAACCCTTCTTACCGTCAGGAACTTCCAGTCTTTGGGGTCACGCAAAGGGGTGGTCCAATCAGCTTCATCTACAGCGTAGTTCCCCAGGAACAGATCGATGGAGTCCTGAATTAAAACAATCAAACTACTGTTTCAACAGTTCCTGTTGTTCCCTATTGTCTGCCCTTGAGTGCAACTCAAGTTGTGCTACATGACGGGTTCCCACAAACTGTCCATCGGGTTCAGGCTGTTTTGTTCAGGTTTAGTTTTGGTTATTTTCACAAGTAATTATTTTATTAAAGCTGCAGGTAAGTTTTTATGAAAATAACTTTTTGTTATATAACTTTATTATATTCTGGTTATATATAGATAATCTGTGAAAAAAAAATCTGGTTCCTCTGGGAAGAAGGTGTTTCTGGATCATGACTACGCTCCGGAGGTATTGAGAAAGTGGAAGGAGTATGCAGAGGCAAAGTAAGTTTTGAGGGAGAAGAAAATACACTTCCAAACATCGTTCCCGGTGAAACAACGGGTGTTCACAAGGGAGAAATCTGCGTTTACAACAAGGCTGAAGAGGCGATTAAGGACATGGTGAGGAGAGGGTTTCAGGTGATGTGGTGAAACCTACGGAGAGCGGACTAGAGAGGATCAAGGACAAGGTTTGAATAGTTTCTGTGTACTTCGATTATGTTCTGCAAGATTAAGGTGAGAAATCGGCACCTATTCATTTACGTTGTATTGGGTTACTTAACTATGCTAATTTTAAAAGGGCGATTTTCCTCTACATATTTTATTAAAAAGTCAGGGAGGCTTTTGTTTTTCTGTAGTTTTAGTTTATTTCCTTTTGTTTTTTCTGTTTGTTTTTCTTTGAGCTGTTGGTCACATGGACAAAGCTGACTACAGCATAGAGGGCCCACTTCCCCTAGGAGGAAGGGGACATCCCTCAGAGTGTAATTAAAACGCAGGCCCCACGCAAGGAAGATTTCAGGTTAATCACTAGTTCATCAGTGATTGGTTTTGTTTTTGGATCTTTAATGTTTAGGGCAGTTTGCCAATTTTGTAGCATAAGGGGTAAGCATAGGATGGAAGAGACGGAAAATCAGCGAATATGGCAACCCAGAAAAAAATATTAAAGATAGCATCATATAATGTAAATGGGATACTCAACCCAATTAAAAGGTCGAAGATACTAGGTAAAATGAAGAAAGAGGGGGTGGGGGTGGCTCTGCTGCAGGAGACCAACCTGTCAGAGAAGAGGCATGAAAAGCTGAAAAGAAATAGATTTTAATCAAGTATTTTCCTCATCTTATAGAACAGGTCATAGGAGAGGAGTGGCCATTGTAATATCAGGGAAATCAGACAAACAGGGAAGGTTTATATTAATTAAGGGGAGGTTAGAGGGAGAATTGGTCACTATTCTCCATGTATATGCACTCCCAGGGTCAGACTGGATATTTCACAGGCAAATGTTTGATTTGAGGACATCAGAGGGGGAAAGGTATTTTGATTTGGGGAGGAGACCTAAATCTCAGAATAAACCCAAAACTCGACTGTTCGGCCAGTGGGATACAGAAATCCACAATTAGCAGAAAGTTCAGAGAGTTATTGGCAGAGTTGGGAGTAATCGATGTATGGAGAGAACTAAATCCTAAAGGAAGAGACTACACTTTTTTCTCATCACCTCATTCAATATATTCAAGGATAGATTATTTCTTAATGTACAATAAGGACAATAACAAGATTCAAAAATGTGAAATTGGGATAAGAGACCTATCAGACCATAGTCCAGTGACTTTAGCTATGTCAAGAGAAACAAAAGCAACACTTTGGAGGCTGAACATAAATGTTCTAAAAGGACAAGCGAAGGAGGAATTTGTTAAAGAAATTCAGACATATGTAAGGGAGAATGATAATGGTAAGGTGTCTCCATCTGTGCTGTGGGATGCGGGTAAAGCTGTAATTAGGGAAACTAAATCAGCATATTTGAAAAGGCAAAAATAGGAAAAACTCAATAAACTATAATCAGATCTTAAGAAACTAGAAAAACAACACAAAAGTAAAGTGGATGAGAAATTTAACCAAGAAATCAAAAGGGTTAAAACAGAAATAAATGACATCCTAGCACAGGAGATTCAAAAATAGCTGATGTACTTGAAACAGAGGTATTACGAAGCAGGAAGTAAATCTACAAAGCTGCTGGCCTATAGGTTAAAACAGTAAATGACAATTAATAATATTTATAAAATCAGGAATTCCATAACTAATTCTTTACACCTCAGACTTTACCCACAACTCCACACACTGCCACATCCAGAAGTTCTCAGATGACACAGCCATTGTTGTTCTGAGGGGAACAAACTGGAATACAGGACTGTTATCAGGGACTTTGTCAGCTGGTGTGAGCTCAACCAGCTTCAGCTAAACACTAGCAAGACGAAAGAGATGATTGTTAACTTCAGGAGGAAAACATCCCACTTCACCCCGGTGAACATCCAGGGATGGGACTCAATAACAAACTGGACTGGACTGACAACAACCATTCTCTCTACAAGAAGGGCCAGATTCGCCTCCACCTGTTGAGGAGACTGAGGTCCTTCGGAGTAGGCAGGGCTCTCCTCAAGACTTTTTATGACTCTGTGGTGGCTTCAGCCATCTTCTATGCTGTGGTCTGCCGGAGAGGGGGCAGTACAGACAGGGACAGGAAGAGACTCAATAAACTGATCAGGAGAGCGAGCTCAGTCCTGGACTGTCCTCTGGACTCCATAGAGGAGGTGGGTGAAAGGAGGATGTTAGTGAAGCTGACATCCATCATGGACAACACCTCTCACCCCCTACATGACACTGTGGGGTCCCTGAGTAGCTCCTTCAGCAGCAGACTGTTACACCCTCGGTGTAAGGAGAGGTTCCGCAGGAATTTCATCCCTGCCGCTGTCAGACTCTACAACACCTGATCAATGTTGTAATTTCTGCTTTTCAAATTACCACCATACCATAGCTTTACCACTTTACCATAGTTACAATACAATAATGCAAAACATAATCAAAAGAAGATTAGAAGCAATAATACTGGGACTGGATGCAGAAAAAAGGCATTTGACTCTGTCAAAACTATTCAATCTCTCTATAACAGCTAAGATCAAGATCAATTGAAATCTCTCAAACTCTTTCATACTAGAACGTGGATGTCGCCAAGGCTGCTCAATAAGCCTTTCCTCTTTGCTATCTATTTGGAACCCCTGAGCCAATAGATAAACAAATATATTAAAGGTATAGACATATAAGGGGGATGTCAAGGAATACCCTTACAGAGCAGAGTAGGTTACTGTGGTGGATAGCACATGATTCAGATTTTACACCTAATACAATAGATGGGAGCTTTAGTAGATGGGGCCAGGGATCAACAATATTCTGGGAGCTTTTGAGGAAGAAAAAAATTAAGTTAAGTTTTTAAGATCTAAAGAATCAATTTAGTTTAAAAATCAGGATTTAAACAGATATTTACAGATGAGGGATTATATGGAACAAACTATAAAAAAAAGTCCAGTTTAGATGAGGTAGAGTCGGGAATTATTAAATTATTTATTTTAGCATATGAATCAGATTTGGGCAAGAAATTAATATAAAAATGATATAAAGAAGTGGAAAATTTAAAAGGTCATCATACATTATATATAAAAGAAAAGTGGGAGAAGGAGGTGGGAAGGATGTTGTCAAAGGAGGAATGGAAAGAGATCAACTTCTATTTTAATTTTTTGTTGAATACTTGGGAAAAGGGAACCAGAGAAAAACAAATTCAGACCACAAATATTTATTCACTATAATGTTAGTGGCAGGCAAAAAAGCCATCACCAGGAAGTGGCTGAAGACAGAGGTACCTAAAATGGAAGACTGGGTTGAAGTAATGCATAACATTTACATGATGGAAAAGTTGACTTTCTCAGTTAGACTAGAATCAGATAAATTTAAGAAATTCTGCAATAACTGGGTTGATTTTGTAACACCAGTGAGAACAGACTTTATTTAGTAAAAACAATGTATCTTATGGTGCTATCCATTTGTCTCGTGAACTCGGAGCCCGAGTTGTTCTGCTGCGAGAACGTGACATCATTGCCTGGCTTGTACCACTTATAGCGTTCCAGTTTGTCTTTGGACATTACGAGTCGGAAAGAAGTGCAGCAGCTGTCTTGTTATTGTTTGTGGCTCTTCTAAACAAGCTCAATGTGAGATAATATGTTTTTCTACAGAAACACTAACATTTCAAGTAATTCCGTTATTGCAAGTCTTACATTTTAATAATATTTTGCCATTTTCGCCTATTTCAATTTCAACAAGTGCTGTGGCGTTTGTCTCGAGCCACCAGGGGCAGTAGCAGGCTAGTGTTATTGTTAGCTACATTAGCCTATTTAGCAAACCAGCTCGAAAACAAAACTTTACATTGTATTGCAAGCACAACAACACTGTGCAATGCATAAATTGGTGACCAGACTAAAGCAGCAATGTAAACAAGTGTGTAGGAGCATTTAAAATCGACATTAAAACGACCAACGTCGTACAAATACAAAGAAAACACATATTAATATGGGCTCTGCGATCTTTGTTTTTGCGGGTGGTACGTGCCCCCCCGTTGAGCTCGGTGTACTGTGAGGTACCCCGAGCTGGACGGCTGAAATTTCGACCAAAAGGGGGTGTGTCTCGGTGAAATGTCGCGAGATAGCTGCGAGATTTACATTTTCCAACTCGGGTTCCGAGTTCACGAGACAAATGGATAGCACCATTATGCATCCCCTTGATGGGGGTCCCATGAGGGTCCCATTCTAACCGGTCCCATTCGTGCTACGGTAAGCGTACTGACTCACTTCCGGTTCACTTCCTGCTCTGTGTACACTGTTTGGTGCTGTAGCTCTGTCAGTGAACGCTAAATATAAATTAGTTTTACTCGTTACAGCGGTTATTTACCCGCTTAACATTTAAACGTAGACTAGTTCTACTTAAACACTTGGAGTTTCTCCCTCTTTTAGGGACTTTTCACTACTTTCAAAGTTTTTCATACACTCTAGTTTCATTAGCATTAGCAGTTAGCTATGGCTTCTCCCTCTCCCTCTCCTCTGTCCTGCTCAGTGTGTCAG